TGAAACTCCGAGATCCAAAGTCTTGAAAAAGCAGGTAAAAAAGCGCTTTTTGAAATTCAACAGCTCATAACTTTTCAGAACTGCATGAATCATGTTGCGACTTCATAGGTTAGATTCTCTTCAAGCTTTCAGATAATATAAAATGCGTGGGGGTTTGGGGCCTCCTACGAATTATGCCCTGGGGTGGAGGGGGGGGGGGAGCCTTTTCATACCAAAGTCTCCCCCTAGCCCACCTTAATGTATTGGAGGGGGGGGGGAGACTTTGTGATGAAAAGCCTCCACCCACGACCTAAGTCGTGAGAGGCGCTCCTGATGAGAAGATTCTGACCTATGCAATGCAACATGATTCAGCAATTCTGAAGAAGTTATGAGCTGTTGAAGTTCAAAAAGCGCTTTTTTACCTGCTTTTTCAACTCTGGATCTCGGAGGTGTTTCAATGGATTGGTACGGCTAAGAGATATTCTGATAATCCAAACCTTACTCTACAAAACTGGAGCCGCAACATCACGCACTTTCACGTTCAAGATTTATATGAGTTTAACTGTCAACCGTCAGAAAACACGCAAAAATGGCGTAAATTTTTAGAATTCTGGTTTTTAACGACTGTCTCTCAAATCGATTCGATTCTTTCACTGCCTGATAGAGCACCATTTACTCTTCAAAACCTATGAAGTCTCGACTGCTGACATCTTCAAACAACAGATTTATAACAGTGGATATTTCGCATGATTTTTTACTATTTAATGATTCAAAATTGTGGTGGCCGTTATTGCCTGGATCGATCTACTTTCTTCGCTGTACGTTATAACAAAAATTGCTTAATAAAATCCGTACAGTTCGCTAAGTTTTACTTCCAAATACACCATTTACTGAACACGTTTATTCTAAATATGTATGCCGCCGCATACATAAATATTAGGTTGTCCCGAAAGTTTTGTCAGTTTTTTCAAACCACTGTAAAACCACTTACAATAAAGATCTGAGTGAGTGTCAAAATGCATTTGATGCAGCTTTTCCTTTTCTTTCTTATGTTACATCTTCATACCACAATCTTATATGCTTTTTTTGATAGTTGCCAAAATTCTACACCAGTCAATTTTACCTGCTAGTTAGGCTAATTAATGAAAATTTCATTCCAAGGTTTCGAAAAGGGTTGAGCATAGATCAAATAGAGCAAGTCTCGGAATACAAAGTAGTATTTTTAGATTCTCCTAATCTGTTATTTTTAGCTTCAAGAAAATATTTCTCCGGAGGTCTCCAGTTTTGGCAAAATCATAAAACACGCAACTGCAACAAATACAAGAAGGCTTTTGTAGTTTCTGCGTATTGAAACATGATTCTTATCAAGCATTATTTATGCAACATAACCAACTTTGAAAAAGGAGCTTTTTGGATTTTTTGGTATTTTTACCTGTTAAACTTAATCAAAAAGCCGCGGTTTTTATTGAATAAATGATTATAACGGACTTGGTAAACGCGGCTCATTTAATCTAAAATAAAGACAATGTAGCCAAAGGTTTTGCTTTACATAACAGTAACCAGCGCTCTTTGGAAATATCAGAATAAAAAGTTCTAAAATTCAGGAAAGGTTTCGCGTTACCACTGAGCTGCTCAAAAAGCCATAGCGATAACACTGCAACGACAGAGTATATTAGAGAGCAAGTATAACTGTAAGAAAGAGAATAAAAATCTAAATCAAATGGTACCTAAGCCGTCCATGGACTTGGCGTTCTGTGAGTTTTAGTGAGCGGTGAAAGAAACCGACAAAACTTTCGGGAAAACCTAATATATGCTTTCAATAATCTTCTTTGCGTTTGTTTTGCTTATTTTCCTTCTTTATCGTCCAGCGAAAAATTTTTTATTCCAAAAGTGAAGGTGGTCACCCTGTACCAGCTCAAAAAAAAGGGGGGGGGGAGGGGAAGGCGTTATGGAGCAAAGCTACGCCGCGTTTCCCTGTGGTATATCCTGAGAGCCATTTTCGTTGCGTCGCTTTTAGTTGCGCAGGAGTAGCGTTGCTCCTGCCAGCGGATTAAGCCATTCCCTATTACCACGACCTTATATATTGAAACTTTATAGATGCAATAAGGAAAACAAAGAAGACCGCAATTTAGAAAATAAATGAATTCTAGGGATGAACAAAAGCTGAATTTGAGATGATTCAATGCTTGATTTGAGTTAAAAATGTTCAAGAGAAGTGGAATACGAGAATTAGTAGAGAAAAAGGATAGAAATTTTCCGGCACGAGTTTTCAAGAGAAATTAACTCACTCATCTTTTACTTTCTCTTAGCTTGCTTTGCAGACTTTTCCTCCTCATACTCTATTTTTGATTCACCCTGGAAATGCGTTTATCATTCACATTTTGATCTCTTTATCTATGGAGAGTGAGGACAATAGCTCAATCCGCTCGGTAGCGCTAGCTCCTCTGCGACTGCAATTAGGCGCGACGCAACGCAAAGGACCCTCAGGTACACCAGAGGCAAATGCGGCGTAGCTTTGCTCCATAATGCGGCGCCGCCGCTCAAAAGTGAAGGTAGGGGGAGAATCGGCCCCCACTATCGCACCTCTGGATATGACGCATCCCCTCTCACAATCAGATCCCCTTCCCTCCCCAGCGGGGATGTACGTGCATACGGGCCTTGGTGATCGTGTCACCACGCGCCGAAAAGTCAAGGTGGTTGTCAGCGAAGACCATCAAATCTTTAGTGCCACTGCATTGTTCAAGTTCAACACCGTCGCACATATAAGTCAAAATTGGAGACTTACCAATATGCATCACTTTTGTTTTGAGCGCGTTCACCTGGATATCCCATTGCTTAGACCAGAATATCAATCTTTGTATAAAGGAGTTGACAGCTTCGTAAGCTTGCTGTTGTATCTCTGCAGCAGTAATAAATCTTCATGTTATCGGCGAAAATCAGGAACTTGTTGTTTGAATGGCTTATAAAAAGTATAGTCGTCCTCACCCCACTAGTCGGTCGGTGGTCGAATTTGAATTCGAACTGGAGCAGGCCGACCGCGGCAGAGCGCGGCAGATGCGCCCCTCAGCCAACCGCTTGCACGACCTTTTTCTTATTTTCTCCTGTTTCTTTGCTAATTCTCGTATTGCGGCAATGTTCTTAACAGATTTTCAGATTTCGTACCGCTAACTCTTTGAAACAAACACTTTTTGAGACGTTTTCAGCCCTATCGCAAAAAAAAATAGTTTGGAGTACACATTCTGAAGAAAAACTTGACAAAGTTTATCAAATCACATTTGTGTATATGTCAGTTACTGGAAAAGAGATATCTCATTCAAAAATCTCCAAAAGCATCCTTCTTCCCGGTTTACTTGGAAAAAAAGTGTTGAACAAAGGAGCACAATGCACAAAACAATAGTTAACGGCACGAAATCTAAAAACCTGATTGAGAATATTGCCGCAGTACGAGAGACAGCAAAGAAACACGAAGAAAATAAGAGAAAAGCTCGTGCAAGCGATTGGCTGGGGGCGGCGCCTGCCGCGCTCTGCCGCGGCCAGCCTGCTCCAGTTCGAATTCAAATTCGACCACCGACCGACTAGTGGGGTGAGGACGACTATAAATGTAATCCTGCGGTATATGTAGGAAAGAGAAGAATTGCCACAAGAAAGAATGCTACCTTGTGGCATACTTTCTTGTGGCACTCCGCTTCTGAAGGAAAACGCCTCGAAAAATTTGCCTCGCTCCATGCAGTCATACCGCTTTTCCGAAGGTAAGAAGCAAACCAAGTGAGCAGTGGGTCTCGAGCACCGTAATTTTTAAGTTTGAGAAGTGATTTTAAACGTTCAACCCTATGAAAAGCTTTGAATAGGTCAAAGAAAATGTCGTCAACTAATCTGCCTTCATTTGCAGCACTAACACTGATTCAGTCGAAAATGCTGTCTAGGAAAGCTGTGGTAGATCAAAAAAAGCCCATCGGACAAATGTTGTTCTTCTCTAGTCACTCGAGTAATCTGATTTTTATTAATTTTTCAAAAATTTTCACTGCAGGAGCGGTGACGTGATAGGTGAGTTTGAGAGGTACATGATACGCTCTCGTTTAGGTATCGCTGTTACTAACGCTTTTTTCCAAAGCTGCGCTACTTCACCTAACGTTGATGAAGTGGTAGACATGAACGGCGATGGGAAAGCCAGAGCCATCAGCCCGACACAATTTCGATAGACTGTCTGAGGAATTCCGTCATAGGCGGCTGTAGTTAAATGCCTTATTTTTTCATGATATCTTACACCTTTGTGGGATCAATGAGTTCTGTGCAGGAAGATGGGGGTAGGAGATTCTAAGACTTCACCAGTGTCGGGTTCTGTGAAAAAAGAAGCAAAAAAGTTACCCAATGCTTCTGCTTTCTCTCTATCGCTCTTGAGTATGCTTCCCTCCTCATCTATCAAATCAGAAAGTTTGCGATGTTCTTTAGTTTAGTCTTGAGATATGCGTAAACTTCTTTGAAATTGTACTTGGAAACACGGCGTTCTCGATTTGCCAGAAAGTTTCTGATTTGATAACTAGTGTCTTGACAGACCTTTTTATATAGAGGACTAGCTGGCTTACCCGGCTCCGCCGTATGTTCCAAATAGAAAATTCCATTTCTTAACCGATCCGGACCAAACTTGACACACATACACTTCGGGCCCCGGCGGGTGTCACAGTCCACTTTTCGCTATCGATCGATGTCGATTTTTTGCAAAATTTGAGCTAGGGGGCTGGAATTTGGCAGGGGGTGTAATCGAGCATGCTGATCAAACTCCCAGCCCCGTAGCTCAAATTTTGCAAAAAATCGATAAAATCGATATCGATCGATGACGAAAAGTAGCCTATGACACCCGCCGGGGCCCAAAGTGCATGTGTGCAAAGTTTGGTCCCGATCGGTTCAGAAATGGAATTTTCTGTTCGGAACATACGTACAGAGAGACAGACATACAGACAGACATACAGACAGACATACAGACAGACAGACAAACAGACATTCAGCTTTATATATAAGATGATTCAGAGGATCACAAAACAACCGCGAGAAAAGTCTAGATTTTTGCTGGAGCAAACTTCGTATGTGAGCGGGATATATTTCTTGTTGAGGCGGCCTAAAACGGAAGGGAACGTTTTTAGCGAAAATGGCGTATAACCATACCTTCGATAGTCAAGAGACAGAGGCTAGAAAGTGATAGTTGTTTGAGTTCCTGACTCCTATAAACAAGGAAGGTTGTTTCAGAAAGATAGATGGAAATTTAGAGATATGAATACCAGGAAACTTGGAAAATTCATATAAAGCAGAGGTTAGCACATCACCAAATTTGAAACCTTAACTTGTTGGTTTCCTACGCACTTTGTCTTCCGGACTGCCGGTTAAATTGGGTGGCAACAAGAACAAAGTTCATTTCCAAATAAAAAAACGCGCTGTTTAGCTGTGGCGGTAGTTGGGAGACCGAAAGAATGAAAACTTGTCAACAACTGAATTGAACATGTTGAACATGTATGAAAAGGCTGCACATTGACGCCAATCTGAATTTTGATGCGTCCTTTAAATTTTCACCCCCGTATAGTCAGTTTCATACCCTGCGACATTGTCTGGATTCTTCCGCTCATCATTCTGAGCAAATATCGTCCAAGCTGGAGGAAATTCGTTGCAAAAGCGCTGAAAGAGATTAAGATAAAGAAAAACTCACTTTTCAGTAATTTTCACAAAAAAACCCGGCATAAGCAAAGAAGTAGGCTCGGCGACGTTGTCTACATCATAGACAGAAACAAGACCTGTCGAACACACAAAAGAACTGAGCGAAAAGAGTTAAATTGAAGAAAAATCAACAGGTTCTCAAAAACGCCGTTTTTCCCAGGTTTCTCGTTTAAATCGTAGAAAGGAGTCTTGCGACGTTGTCAGCGTGAAAATAGAAATCAAGAGCTTCAATACGATATATAGATTGTCGAAATTGGGCTCCGAACAACGAAGAAAAGGGTACCAGAGCCAAATGCCCCGCGCCCCGCGTTTGGGGTAGCGAGGTAGCGCGCAACGCGCGGAGACGCAGACGAGCAGCGGAGACAGACCAGAGCCGACGGGGCATTTGGCTCTGGTAGTAGATTTCCGCGGGGTCTTAACGAAACCCTACAACATTATATATCATTCTGATCGTCATAATACAACAAGGAGCACTAACAACGTCGCGGGTCTTGAAGATCACTCCATAATGCGATAGACCAGCATTTATGTGGCGACTCTCTGCGCAAGATTTGAGCACAGTTTCTCGTTTTTAATGAACTCCAGCGGCTTTCATGAACTTCCAACGCTCAATCGCAGTTTAGAGAAAGGCTAATTGAGAAATTTTCTCCTAGTGTTTAATTGAATTTTTGAATAAAAACCTTCTTTTCAGCAAAAAAGGCCATAAAAACGCAATCCTTCGGTTTTTTGAGCTGCTTTTGAATGTCACTGCTATATTTGCCTCATTCACATTCATCCCTATATGGTTATGTCTTTACTTATGTCATATATCCGGGGCTTCGCACCGAATGACTTCTGTACTTCTCTCCAGGTGAGGGTTGTGTTCTATCATGACGGCCAAAGTGAAGGTTACCAGAGTACATGGCTTTATGTATCGAAGGTATGCGTATAACGTTCTATAGAAGAAGCGGCAATAAAGATCATCAACGCTTTCGCAGTTATCGAAGGTGGCATACCAATCAATATTCTGGAGAGCATTATTTATTGATCTGAAATCATCTTTACGAAAATCCGGGTATGGAATAAACAATTCTTTATTTGAAATGAAGGTGACTGGAAACTAACGATATTATGGTAGGATGAGCCAAAAGGGGGAGAGCTTTTGTATTCTGAACTATTCTATGAGATAAGAAAATCAAATCTATGGCTCAATCTCCTCTAGTTGGATAGTTACATTAGGAATAGGATAATCTTGAAGAAGGATGAAGAAAGAAGTGTCATTACAGAGATGTGATAAGAAATTTGCATTGAAATTACCCAAAACGACAGACGGGAGTGGACAAGAAAAGAAGTCGCAGACAGCATCAACCAGACTGGCATCATCACGAGATTTGGAAGGCGGAGGCCGCACAATAAACCTAAGGGGCAACAGCGAAAAAGTAGACCAAAGATTCAAGCAGAGCATGTTCCAGGTGTGACTTCTGTTATTCGTTACTCTTTCAACTGCGTACTCATTTTTTTTGACCAGACAACATACTCCCCCGCCTCTACGACCAGATCTATTTATGCGTTGAAGAGAATATGGATGATCAGAAACAATTTAAACGTCAAAGATGTTACAACTTAGCCAGGGCTTGGTGATGCAGACAATATCAGGAGTTTGAGGGGACAGGATTGCATGCAAAACCTAGATTTTAATGACCTAACTGAGGGCATTGAAAAGAGAACATCAAAGAAATGCAGAAGTACTGGGCGAAGTTAGCAGTTTTTTTTAAAGACGCTTGGGCGACTCGGAAATGTGATGTAACTCCCCCTCCCGTGTAAACTACCCATTCCCTCGTCGTCTCCTTGTCCGCTCTCTGGCTTTCTGCCTTGATTCGTATTCCTTGGCCCTTTCCTCCGCCGTCATACTCCTGCGTACAAAAATGTTCTGACATCCCGAGCGTCACAAGAGGTATTCATTCGCAAGGGCTTGATGCCAGAAGGACTGCAAAGGGAATACTACCTTGACGAGTTAGGCCGAGCATCCTCATACTTGCCCGTACGATAGAGCTCCGTAGGCCGCAGTCGACCTTCAGAATCTCTAACACCTTCATCTTTCAGGTCCGTCTTTTTTGCAGTAGCGATGTGCTGGGGATTAGGTTCCTTTAACCCACTCAAAACAATATTTCGAACCCTTTTTTCGGCCTCGATGTCTTGAGGAATCTTGGTTTTCAGGACAAGCAACATTTTCTTGGTTACCGGATCGGTGTTTCTATCCAATATCGAGTAAGAAGCTCGTTGGCTGATAAGGCAGTAAAGTCTTCTTGGCCCTCATTAGCGATAGACATCTCAACAGGGTGACTTGAGGACCGGAAGTCTTCTTCCTAGTAATCTAGAAAACTTTTGAAGAAGATGGAGATGACCACGACTACGCGAAAAGCCTTTTGTGCAGGGCGAAGAAAATAACGATAAAGTAGTATGATCGAAAAAAATACTGGCAAAAATGAAGGATGTATGAGAAACGTAGAAAATAAAGAAAGTAAAGGAAAATACAGCCACTTGACACTGCGTCACAAGAGGATTTGTTTCGTGTGAGCGATCGAGCAGTGAAAGGATTCGTCTCAATTGGGCATGGATGAAAATTGGAAGTCGAACATCAGCGAGTGTGAAAAAGTCCCGCACCATTAAAAAAACACTGAAGGGTAGAGAAGCGTCTTGGTCATCTGTGACGCGAGGTGTCGATGCTCACCCTGCATAGTACGTTGTCATCTTTTTGTTTTACTTTTTTTCTTCTATCTATATATTAAAAATGGAAGTGCATAGTCAGCCGCGTGATCTCTTTATACAGTGGGCCCGTGCATTATGGGGACGGCAAGTTGAAGGGGGGGGGGAAGTAGTGCCCGACATGGTTGCGCACTGTGAACAGCTTCTGTGGGCTCTACAACATATGGGAGTAGAAATTGGGATGCAAAGCTGCGAGCACAAGGTGGAGATGCTGGTTCACCGATCACAACATACGACTTGGCGTGCAGCTGCCACTGGGTAATTATTTTCTACAAAATTTTCTTTCATTGGTCTAACCGCACTTACATTAATTTTCATTTTATGAGCTAAGGAGTGCTAAAACAACAGATCTATTTTGAGGGTTTTGTCTCTGAACTACTGAACATCATGTTGTATTCCACGAACACTTCCGTGAAGTTTCTGAAATATTTTTCAACTGATGTATCAAGTTTCATGGCAACTTGTTCCCCGAACTAAGTTTTCTAGCTTTGCCATTTCGTAATACCATCGAAAACGAATAAACGAGATTCTTATTCTGTTAAACCCTCTCGTAACACTGAATTATTGTCAGTGTAATTTCATTTTGACAACTAATTAATTGGGATTTAATTATAGATCTCTCCATGCTCTTTTTTGAAAAAGGTCGGTCTCCTGCTTCTAAACACACTTTTGATTGCTTTCCTTCAGCTTGGTAGCTTTTTGCCTTTTCATTGTCAAATGATTTCTGCCTAAATCAGTTGCTTCAAATCATCGAAAATATAAGCCTTTTGATATTATTACAACGCCCTCATCACTTAATTTATATAGTACCGACAATTGCGAAAAACGCAACGAATCGAAGCTTTGAAACATACCGCCTTTCGTTTATTCTAATAACTTTCTCACATCCGCGCCTGTGTCTTTTCATCTGCGAATAATTTGATGTTTCTTACATTTCTACACTCAAAATGAACTCCACAGCAGATAAAAAAATAGGTTTGGTAAACATGCAAAATTTGCTTTTACAATACAGTAGTCTTATATTTGTTGAATCCTACTATTTATGTTCTTTGCTCTTAAAGGCACCGTCCACCCAAAAGACTTTGATGCCTAGCAGTAGCGGAGTCTCCAACTGTGTATGTGCCCAACATGCGCTGTAAAGGTTGCTCCCGAAACGAGAAAATTGTCGAAAGTCGCTTCGAATGACGGATTCGCCATCTTGGCTCCTCCCTCTTGAGTGGGCGTGACCTTCGTCCCACCCATCCCTGCGCACCCAACCAATCACCGTTCTGGAAAACTCGCCCTGCGGGTTCTGCGCAACGGGAGTTGTCGGAGTTTTCGCGCGTTCTCGAACTGGTTCGGAATCACGGACATGAGAAGGTCCCGGAATGATAAAAACGCGGAAGTCGAAAGTCTGGGTGGACGGTGCTCTGATTATACCAGACCTTTGATTTCGTAAACAATCAGCTCTCTCAAACTCACAATCAGTCAATGTTTTCCGTATCGTCAAATGCGGAGTGGTAATTTTTCGAGTTAAATTTCAATGCACTTTCAAGTGCCCATGAATGAGAATGGTTTCGAGTGGTTTATGTGACAAATCTGCTTTTCTTCCAGCTCTACTTTAAGACAATAAATCTGCTGTTTATCTCATGTATGGGCAATCTGAAGGAGACAAACTATTAGGTTGGCTAATAAATAAGTTCGTTTTGACATGCAAATTCAAAGCTTCATAGCAATTCACGTAGCAGCTATTCAGCTAAGATTTTTTCGTGAGAAGATAGCCTCAATCCTCCACTCTTAAATGTCAAATAGTCAAGATTTTGTGTCACCAAAAAATGACAATTATAACCTTATATGGTCAGACTTCTAAAAAATCACTTTTTCGATTTTCTTGCTTTCGTTCTCAGCCTACAGTGAGTACACAGGTGAATAATTTGGTGGCTGGATACACACAGCCTCTGGCTAGGTGGCGAACCAGAATAGAGATTGTGACCTGCTGTTTCTGAATTTTCGCAGTCAAAACTATAGAAATTTCCAGGCATTTGCGCGTGGAGGTCAAATTTTGGGCACTCCAGATAACTCGAATTTGGCCATCTATGGTTATGCAAATGGTTAGAAATTCAAAAATTTGTTGTGTGGGTAGAGAGTCTACACCTTAGACTTGAGTTCAGTTCGTTTTTTGAAACGTGATTTTTCGAAATTTTGAGGAAAAAATCTGACCAATTTTCTTTTCTTCACCATTTCATTATCAGAAAAATTATTTTTGAAGAAACAGAGTCAACCATCCGATTCTCCTTGATTTGCTCTTTCTAAAGGTACCATATATGTACATAAAAAATGATTTGTGACAGTTCTACAAACCGCTAAAAACGACCGAACTTATTTTTTAGCCAACCTAATTTTTGTTTTTGCCACTAATGAAGAAGCACTGTTTGAACTGTCCATGGAACAAACAGTACAGTAAGAATAAGTGTAGTAAGAGTTATATAAGAACAAAACATAGTCTTGAACACAAGTCACCCCAAGTCACACAAATCACAAGTCACCACACTTTGTGGTCAGTTAAATACTAAAAGTGGATAGAAGGATATACCTAGAAATTTAACCCGATCCCTTTTTTGTTATACACTTGTCGGCTAATCCTCTGGAAATGGTTTGATCTCTAAAGCACACAGTCTATAAGCAATTCTATATTATCAAAGTAGATGCTTATAACTTTTTCGCTCCGGCCTTGCTCGTCCATGATGTCATTGACAAAGATCTGCATTTAAAAAAATCCACTTACTAAAAAAATTGCTCGAAAAATATTCTAGAGAGGATGTTGCCCTTCGCAATTCTTTAATGCAGCAAATTTGGAAGTAAAGTAGGTTAAACGGTACACATCTTTATTAGGATCTGGCTGTGGGCTATAACCGACAACACTCATCTAAACATCTATGTGGTAGTTTTGGCTCTCAGTACAAGTAGTCACTCATCCAATTTACGATGAGCTGCGAGAGACAGTCAAGTAAATTTGTTTCCAAAAAATGACAAAATAATTAGCCTTTTCAAAAATGTGGTGAATGCGTAAAAATTCAGACTTCGTTGTCATTGCTAGTCTTATTCACTAAGTGATGTCAACTCAACTTTTTTTGCCCCGTTGCTTGCATATCGATGAGAAAAGCTCAAATCCGAATGTAACGAATACCTCGTCTCTCACTGCAGCATACGACGGAATCTTGTGCTTTCATATTTTTCGTTGAGATCTTGGCTTGTGCTTGAATAATGGGCACGAGCTGTTTGATGTTCTTGTCGAACTTATTCACTGATCACACGTATCTTCAGCTGCAAAAGTTAATCTTCTCGTTGTACTATATTATCGTGGGCTCCTTCTCTTTCTCTACTTGCGGCCACTATATAACTAGTTTTTTGTAGACTTTTCTAATAAGCAGCTGCTAGCATTGTCAATTCCATGACGAGGGTAAACTTTCTCAATCTGCTTTTCATCCCATTTACATACAAACCTCGTCTATATTTTTGCCAGAAAAGTCTAAAAAAAAGAGCTGAAGGAACAGGAAATTCTAATGCATATTTAGGGTTCTTATGAAAAATGCAATTGTTGCTTTTCCTTTGGTATCCCATCGAATCCGTATATCTGCCCATTATCCTTCGAAAATTATATCTAACACCCTTGCTCTGTTTGAACTGAGTATTCCAGGTCCGAAAAACAGAAATTCTGTTTTTTTAATAGCACAATATGGAGATTCCATTAAACTCCTATATCCGACGTCAGCGAGCTTCGGACATGTCATCTAAACTGAAGTCCAGCGAAAGGAAGCAACTTATCGGGTGAGCGGAAAGATAGGGTTTCACAAGCTTTTCTTTCTAATGTGTTTTTGTATTTGAAATTGAAGATGTTATCGACATCGTTAACTATTCACATTTCCGAGACTTTTTCCTTGCTTTCAGGTAATTATATTAAAAATAGCTCAGTATTATAGTTTATCAAAAAATTACTTTGTAAGTCTCATGTTTTTGTTTCTTAAGAAAGTCAAATTTTCACCTCATGTGGTCATATATCTTCCGGAAGAGCCTTTGGAACGGAAATGTTATACTTACCAAACAGATAGAAGTGCAGCAGTACTTGATAAAATCTACCTATATCTTGCATGTTCGCTGAATGTGCACGCTCTCGAAAGAAACTGATTTTCTCCTGCCTTACGGCGATTATACTGAAGAAGCTAAAGTTATAGTTTATTCAAAAATTTTACTGCGTAATTAATTAAGGTTTTTACCGGAAAAAGAAATTGGACTTGAACGAAAAATCAATTTTTGTACAACTGTTATCATCAAAACTGAAGCAGGCTCTACTGCCACTGCTCTGAAACCGAGAAAAAAGAAAAGAAAGCAAGTCGCCTTATGCAAACACGCAAAAATGGAGACGTTAATGCGTAGAGGAGAAACATTTGAACTAGTGCATTTTGGTTCTGTTTAAATGTTCCTCCGCATTTCCAACAAAACCATGCAATGTTATATATCACTTCGAAAATGAGACGAGGAATAGCGCTGACATCAACGCTTAAAAACTAGTCTGTAACAAAATACATTCGTATTTCTAACTGCAGCTTCGGCAAATTTCGGTTGTGTCTTTGTATGCTTTGCATTTTAGCAGTTTTTGACTGTACCTTATGTTGAATTCTGTTACCATTTATGCGGAGATGTTTGTTGCTAAATTTGGCAAATCTCCAGTTATCTTCATCAGGTAGTTCCAGAAAACAGAATTTTGCCTTTTGAGACGATAGTTTTTGTGAACCTGTTGTATGCTATGACCTAACCCATAATCCCGGAGTGACTGTGGACGAAGATAACAGTGCAAATGGAATGATATTCTTTCGATTTGGCCGACTGATTTTTCTCCCTTATAAATTATGTGCTTTCGGCTCGAAAATAAAACCTCATAAACCCGAGACTAATCTGGCTCTATAAATCGGAATGATATCAAGGGGATAAATCAAGATCCCGTCAATATGTTCCACTCGGACCCCTCATAAAAGTTCACTGAAAAATGGAAGATATCCAGCATTTATATTCGCACGGTGATAAGTTTTATGGAACGCCTTTAAGACTGAGAGGAGTACTTGACCTGTTAGAAAACGAATGCTCTCTATTTCTTTTTGAAGTGTAGGGAGGATTTAGAGAGCAAACCAAAAGTACAGATATTTTGGGGTGTGTTTCCACAAGTAGCGGAATAGAGTTCCGATGGCAACTGTTGTGGCATAAATAACTAATTAGCAATTTTTTGCACATTGTTTTTAGCCTGAATATCCGTCCTAAAAAGATGTTCATATTGTTTGATTTTC